GCCTTCGCTGGGTGGACCACGAATGAGCAAAGGTGTGGAGAGACGGAAGACGTTGACAGTGTCCTGTGTGTAAACAGAAGTCTTTACCTTCACATTATAACTCAGCACTTCATCTGTTTCACTGAGGGACGGGGAAAGGGAAATACACACCTTCCTACTTTGTTCAAAGCATGCTGTGGTGTCCTTATATAATCAAAGTACACATTTCCAAAGGAGAGCTTTTCAACCTTGAGAAAAAATGAATTGTGACCTCAATTCAATGAATAGAAAAAGGCGTTATTGCTCTGCAGAATACTAATAACTTATCTTTTGACTTTAACATGTAATTTCATAAATTATTCCATTATGCTTAATATAGCTTGATGATTAAGGCAATTAGTGGATTAACAGTTTCATCCGATTCAGGCTAGTTTTGATATCTCAATCAGTTCATGCTCAACTGGATTAGTATCTTAGCTGCTAGTTATGTGCAAGGATTATATAATGCATACTGAGTTTAAATAAAATGAGTTGGCATTAAGCACCAAACACTGGGCAATCGTATGTTCAGTACATACTTTCAACACACACACAGACGGGTACCTGATTTAAGAGCACAGTAGAACTCACTTTCCATTTAAAAAATCAATGGGTAACATATATCCAGGAGGCGACCAACCGGGAAGGGGGGGGGAACAGGTGTCCCGAGTGAAAAAAAAATGTTTTTAAATAGTAGTAAGAGTTGTTATTCCTACAAATAATTCAGTTTATTATACAGATGCCGTAGACTCCAACGTGTCCCCCATGGGAGGGGGACACAGGGCGGCCCCTCGGTCCCCAGCTAAGCCCGGTTTCCACCTGTGTTTTCTTCCGAAACACGTGGGCCTGGCGCGCAGTCAGAGGCCATGTGACACAAGGACACCACTTCTTGGAGCAGCCCGGGGCCTTCTGGAGTCTCTTTGGCTTCTTTCCCTTCTCTCTCCCAAGGAACGGAGGTAGACGGGCGCCGCCCGAGGCCGGGCGGGAGCGGGGCGTCACAGCTCCGGCTTAGTGTTTCCCTGGGTTCCGCGTCCGCCTCCGCGCCGTCCCTTTGGGCAACTCCGGGAGCCAGCAGGGACTCCGACCCCGACTCTGCGGGCCCCTCCGCCCCGCTCGGGCCACCCGGGTCGCGGGCACCGAGCTGCTTCCCAGCGCACTCCTCTCTCAGGATGAACAGCGACTCCGCCAGGCCGCCGGAGGACACGCGCTTCCTGGGAGCCGGAGGGAGGTGGCCGCTGGGGGCGCTGTCGTCCTGCCCCAGGGGCCACTCGGCCTGGTCGCCAGAACCGCTGCAGAGCAGGGCCAGGTTGTTCTCGCTGGGGGCATTGGATTTGTTCTGAAAGAAGAGTCAGCAGACTCAGAAAATGTTTTCAATTACAGTAATATTTCAGATTTTTTTTTCCTATCCTGAAATCAGGGTTACTATCTTTCAAGGCTGCGAACTTTGAAGTTCTGCCCAGAGGAAACAAGCATCATGGGGAGGACTTTGGTTTCTGTGTGTTTGCAACTGTCACCTCTCACGATAACCCGTGCCAACTTCCGGAGTCCCTGACAGTCTAAATGTGGCAGACACTACTTAGACTTCCACCTCTTATGTTCTGAAAGCATTCCATTTGTTTAAAACATTATTCATTTTTGAGCAATAAAAGGGGAAAATGATTTGAATACACTTACTAAAATTTTTTGAAAACCCAGAAAAAATATATATATATACACACACATACACATTAAATAGGCAGTATTCAGAAATTCATCTAACAGATACTACACTAAACAGAGTCTCAAAGAATAATTCAGTGAAAAGAGATTTCTGATTGACTTATTTAGTTTGACGTGACAAGTTACTATGGAGTATATATATATATTTTTTTTTTTTTAAAGTAGGAATATTTCCTGTTAAAAAAAATTCCCCAGAGAAGGCAATTATAATAGATTATAAGAAAATATCCCTCCCGGACAAAAGAATTTCTATTAATGACAATAATCTCCAAAAGTGGGTTAGTGGATAAACCATCAGAAATTTTATTACTAGAAATAATTCTCAGTGATTCAATTTTACCCTATTTTTGAAGTTTCGAAACTTGCCTATTTAGAGGTTAAATGTTTCTACCTATTAAGATTATAAGATCAGACAATCCCAGCAAGGGCAGGAATGTTTTCACTTCATTTTATGAGTGGAAAAATTAACTACCGTAGGTTTGTAATCAATATCATCCATTGATCTAAAGAAATCCAAGCTCTTCGCAGCTGCCAGCTTCCCTTGATCCGAGCTATGTGTGCTCAGCGTATCAAGGATCTCGCCTAACAGGTCCATTTCGCCAGAGTAAGGGATCTTCACTCTTGTTTCCACCGAGTCATCGCTTTCATAAAAATAAGCAGGAGCTTCTTCACCATCTTCAGAAGATAACCTGGAGAAAAATAAAACAGGTGGAAGAAGATGTATGACCATGAATGTTCCTTGTAAGCCACCTCTTATCAGTTACATCCGGTTAATGAGTTGAACCAAAGTGATATTCTGGAAGAACAACGAAATTGTTCCTAAGTTCAGGCCAGCCAGTGGCGTAGTGATTAGGCAGCTGGATCTCACGGGACTCGGCAGTCTGAGAAATGCTAGGCATATGTGTGCGTGCCCAAGACCCCAAGAGGGAAATGGAGAAGATACTGTGGTATGGCCATGCCCCCTGGGTGTGATTTCTCACTTTCCCTCTCTTTCTCCCTTTCTTTCTCCAGCAAGTGCACACTCCCTATAGCAAAAACTAAAAATAAATATGTGGTGTGTGTGTGTGTGTGTGTGTGTGTGTGTTTGTTTCAAGGCCAGATTCTTTACAGTGGGGTACAACCTAATTCGAATGCTGGAGGTGATAAGTACATGCGTTAAGATGAGCTTTATGGGAATTTAATCACCCTGTAAGTATATGCATGCTTTCATACAGTTATTCTGTGGGCTTTGGAACTTTAACCTTGGAAATATTTAATTGAATACTTGGAACATTTGTTAAAGCTTAAGTTCACTTTCAATATTTTTATATGATTTTCCTTTTCTTTATTCATTTATTTTGGAAAAGAATATATATATTCCTTCATATAACAGAGATATACTTAATAGAGAAGAAAGAACATCATTTTATCATCTCTGTGTTTTCATTGTTGTTGTTGTTTTGTAGAGGTTTTTGCTATAGGGTGTGTGCGTTTGCCGGAAAGACAGAGAGAGACAGAGAGATAGAAAGTGAGAAATCACCCTCCAAGGGAGGTGGTCAGACTGGAATCCCTTCTCCATTCTCCTCTTGGGATCCTGGACACACATGCACATGCACCTGTCATGAGTTTAAGCCACGGGGTCCAGAATTCAAACCGTGGTTGACTACATAGGAGTCCAGTGACACAGCCATTACACCAACTGCTGGTCCTTCATGTTTGTTTGTTTTAAGACAAGGTCTCACTATGTTGCCCAGGCTGGCAAAATCCTGCCTCAGCCTCCCAAGGAACTGGGATTAGAGGCATTGTCACTGTGCCCAGCCCCCATATATTTTCAAATAGTTAAAAAGTTAAATAGATACTATTATTTCCTTATTTTATATTAAAATGAACATTTTGCAGCAGACTTAAATCCCCCCTCGTGCTGCAAATCAGTTTGCTTCAGTTGACTGTCATCACTGCTCCTGATATTCAGCCTCCCTCCTTTCAGCATGAGGACAGGAGTTTAATTCAGGAGGGTGCTCTCCCCTTTAGCACTCTCTCAGCTAACCCTGGAAACGTTATTGCTTTCCAAAAGTGAGGTATTCAGGTCTACCTCGCTTTGCCATCTCAAGATTTAAACCCTCATGACATTCCAAGGAGCACGAGTTCCTTTCCTGAAGAACATCACAAGGAAGCAACGTCCAAGCTCTGCAGGTGCACACTGGGACATACCCTTCTAGCCTAACGCGTCTCCCACTGAGCCACACCAGTGACAAGACCAGCACTCCTTACTTGCTTGCTCTTTCAATGTCGTCGTCGTCCTCGTCACACAGCGCACCATCGCAGCTCTTCAGAGGCCTTTTCAGGCGTGCCTAGAGAGAGAAATCGGCAATAAGCTGGCTGGCACTGGTGGTTTAGAATAAATCTCTTTAATAAATGTTAGAAGAACAATGGAACTTGATAAAAACATGTTTAAAAGAAATACACAAAGGTTTTTAGATATACCCGATCACTTGGCAACCTGGGGCTGGAAGAAGAGGATGGAATCAGGTCACATCTATTTCCACACTTAGTAGCTCCTTGAATGAAAATAACTTAAAAAAAATCACTGGATAGAATTCAGGTGCATAGTCACACTGTCTTTCAAACTGGTCTCAAAGACAACTTAGGGTTAGTAGCTTCTTGAATGAAAATAACTTTCAAAATCACTGGATAGAATTCAGGTGCATAGTCACACTGTCTTTCAAACTGGTCTCAAAGACAACTTAGGGTCAGTCACTCGCTCGTGCACTCGATCACCGAGTTTCAGCAATTTACAGTATGCAACAACCTTGTTTATTTCTTCCATGAGACAGATACCCACATGTACACATGTGCCTCCCAAAGGGTGACCATGCTGTGATCCACTTCCAGCCTCAGCCAGCCAGGACTGAGGGTGCACACCCACCGTGTTGGGGAGACCTCAGCAGGTGAGCCCAGCTTCCACTGCAGTACCTCATTTGGGGGAGTACTAGGACTGATTAATGACTTCCGCTGTGGGCGGCTGGTCCCTCCCTTATGAATTACCTCATCAACTTTTCACTTGACGGTCAGTATCCTGTAGCCACTGGCTAAACCAATTATGTCATTAGGGTCTTCAAAGTTATGCTTTTAGGGAGCTCTCCTTCTATATTTACTTGTTGTCATTCTATACAGGAGAACTTTGGACTATCCTAGGGGCCAGCAGCTAGCGTAATGGCTATGTTGCTGGACTCCCATGTAGTTGAGCATGGTTCAAGTCCCAGATCCGGTGGCTTAAAACTCATACCGGGAGTGTGTGCGTATGTGCCCAAGATCCCGAGAGGAGAATGGAGGAGAAGGGATTGCAGCATGGCCATCACCCCCGAGGGGTGATTTCTCGCTGCCTCTCTGTCTCTCTGTCTTTCTGGCGAGCGCACGTGCCCTATAGCGAAAACCTCTCAAAAAAACAAAAAAAGAGGAAAAAGAACAACTTTGGACTATCCTGAAATACAATGTGTGCAGGAAAGGTAGGACAGATCCCGAGTCTGACATTCTATTTCATAATTTTCAGAGTAACAGGTTATAACCCAAACAACAGCTAAAGCAAGCCATGAGGGTTTCTGTTACTTACCATGATTTGTACATATCTGATGCAGTTCAACCCGCCACAGCTATTACTATTTTTGATAACAAACCTGCCCCATCTTTGAATTATACTCTGATTGTATCATTTCCAAATGATCCATGCATAGTTTTTTCATAGTATGCATTTTCCATGAACTTTCTCAAGAAACTCCCCCATATCCCCATGTGGTTAATAAACTCTTATGTTACAAGTTTCTTTTTGTGCTCAAGAATAATCTTATATTATAGGGCTCGCCCTATAGCACAGTAATTAAGTGCTAGGCATAGAACACTGGGTCCCTTGGGTCAGGCTGGTGTGGTGGTTAAGGTGGCTGAATCCCACGTGGCCAAATGCATGGTTCAAGTCCCAGACCCAGTGGCTGGAGAGACATGCTGGGTACATGTGCATGCATGTCCAAAATCCCAGAAGGAGGGAGAAACAGGGGAGAAGGGATTGTGGTGTAACCATTTCCCATGGGAGAGGGGTGCTTTCTCACTTTATCTCTGGCAAGTGCATGCACCTTCTGGCAAAACTACAAAAATAATAATGATCTAAGATCATTACGATCACAAATGGGGCACGGTCCACGGAAAGTATAAGACTTTAAAATAAGGAAAAAATGTATTGCTGTCTTTTCAAAAAATGCTGTGTGTTCCTTTCCAAGATTTTAATACCATATAGGTCTGCACCATTCTTAGTCTTGGATAATTCTACAGCTCTGTAGAGCTAGGAGTTAAGCTGTGGAAAAATGATGGCATGCAAACCCTCCTTGTTCATGGAGACACAAGTGAACTTGGTCTGGTGGAGACACAGCTGTTACATGGGGGGCATGGTTTTGTATATATTGGCACCCACATTTCACTATTCCTGTGTCTGTTCTTTGGTTTGTCCTTTATACCATCTTACTAGTTCCTTCATTAGTAAAATATAAGTAACAATTTTACTCTGCAGTATAAAAATATTCTTTAGGGGACCAGCAGTTGGCATAATGGCTATATCACTGGACTCTGATGTTGTCGACTGCAGTTCAAGTCCCGGACTCAGAGGCTTAAATTCATAACAGGTGCGTGTGTGTTTATGCCCAAAGTCCCAAGAGGAGAATGGAGAAGGGACTGCAGCATGGCTATCCCCCCTGGTGGGTGATTTCTCGCTTTCTGTCTCTCTCTTGTCTTTCTGGTGAGCACACACACCCTATAACAAAAATCTCTCAAAAAAAATAAATAAATAAAACAGTAGTCTTTAGAATAAGTAGTTAAATGTTTCCTGAATAAATTAACATATGCATATGTGGTAGGTAGTTTGTTGAGTATGCACTAAAGGAATTGCACAACCGATAAGAAAATACATACTGCAAAGAAGAAAGTACTATATTTATTTCATTGACAAAAGTACTTTTAGTGTCCACAGATACAGAAAAGCATTCTGCTCATTCATTCATCCAACAAAGCTTAAAGAAATATCTTCTCTGTGCCAGGCACTGGGCTACATGCCAGTGTACAATAACAGCTCAAAACAAGGCTCCCTGCCTTCATAGATGTTACATTCTAATACACGAGATGTTAATTAACTCAATAATCATACAAATTGTGACTGTCATTAATTCGTACTGCGCTATGATTGCTATGAAAGCACTAAAGGAATGTGACCCAGCCCAGGAGGTCAAGGGAAGTCTCTCCCTGAAAGATGTTTGTTGAGCCCTGATAGTAGCTGCTAGGTCGAAGAGGAGAAGTCACCCTGTGTTCAACTGTCCTGTGGTGGGACCATGGCGACAAAGGTAAGTGGATGAACCGTAATCACTGGTGCAGGGCGAGTGAGAGCTTGTGCTGGTCTACAAGATTCTCTAAGGGGCCCATTCAATCTTGCAGTTACCCCTTTGATCACTAGATGGCAGACATATACTAAGAAAACAAGACTGGAGCAATTCATATTTCTGGGGGCGGGGCTGGCGGGTCCTAAATTGCTGGAGGAAATCAGACATCTAGCAGGAAATTGGGGGAGATGAGAACATGGGAGGCGGTGTCAGGCAAGGGACAGACCTCGGACCTGCAGATTCTGATCATGGAGGACAACAGAAGCCACTGAGGCAACGTCTCTGCTGAGAGACTATGAAAGCTGCCACGGTTGCCCCTTGCAAGTACAACAGTAGTCACATCTCACTTCTCCAGTTTTAGCATCTCTTCATTCCACAAACACCCAAGCGAAAAATGCCAAAATGCTCACTAAAGCTTTTATTTCCCACAAGTTTTAATCTACTTCCTTGACATGGAGGGAAGGAATCTGGACAGTGCTTTATCATGCAGTGATCCCCTCCCAGCCTTCCAGGGTCCCAGGATCCCTGGTGCCCATGCACCCAGCATGTTCAGGGCAACCCAGAACCCAAGTCCCAGCCTTCCCATAGGGCTCCGGTGTCCAAAGCAGCAGTTAAAAATAAGATAGGAAGTGAATGTTACATGTCCTCAATCAGACTCACACCAGGTTGTAAACACACAGAATTGTAAAAGAAAATACTGTTCCTCCCCAAACGTACACGCCTATTCTATTTGAAAATGCATGAAGCAAATTCTCATGTAACAAGGGATGCTTGCTGAAAACGTGGGGGGAAATACTAAATTAATGAAAACGAAAGGTTATCAACATGGAATGAAATTTATTAGAGAGCATATCCGACTAGAGAAGCCGACCCTAAGCTAGAAAATGACAGAAGTAAAAGAAACGGACTGGGAGGGACGAGATAGAAAAAGATTTTGTAGGAAGAAACAAGAACGGATAGTAACTGAGGTAAAAAGACCAAGTCCCCAAACCACAGACCTTCATATGTAAAGCGACCTCATGAAATAGTTTGGTCTAGCTCCAAGAAACAAAAAGAAATGTTTCCTTTCTTTTCACTTCCATGGTTTCCAGAAAGTACATGAGACAACAAAATGACGAAAATCCTCCTGGGGCATGAAGGCGCAGGCTAAACTAGTAGTTAACTTTTTGATCACTAGAGGGCAGACAAGTACTAATATGCTTGACCAGTTTAAACTGGGTGTGGGGGTGGGGGAGTTGGTGGGGCATGGAATGAGTGAGGCGTGTAAATAAATGGGAAAGTACAAGTTTCTTTGTTTTTTTCTTGTTTTAGGGTTTTTGCCATAGGGCACGTGTACTCACTGGAGAGAAAAGGGAAAGTGAGAAACCACCCCCTAGGGAGGATGGCCACACCACAATCCCTCCTCGTTCTCTTTGAGATTTTGGACACACATGTACATGTGTCCAGCACGATTCTCAAGCTGCTGGGCCCAGGACGCAAACCACAGTTAGCCAGGTGTGAATCTAGAGCCTTCCCCACCATGCCACCTGCTGGCCCCAGGAAAATAGGTTTTAAAAGTTCTTAAGTTTTCTTCAAATTGACAGATAAAATTTGCATATGTGATTTTTGAAATATAAATACATTATGGAATGGGTATTTCTAGTTAACAAATATGTCACATAATGATGACTTCTGTGGTGAGTGCATTTAATATCTATGCTTCATAATTTTCAAGAATGCAATGTATCATCAACTGCAGTCACTTTGCTGTGCAGTAGATCCCTATAGGCATTCCTCCTATCTCACTGTCATTAGGTATGCACCTATTAACATCTCATGGTCCCTGTGCCCAACCACCTCACCTCTGGGAGCCACCACTGAGCTCTCTACTTCTGAGAGATCAACGCTTTTAGATTCCTCAAGAGTGAGATCATGCAGAATTTGTCTTTCTGTGCCTG